CATCACACACATAGACACACAGAGGTGGGTGGGGTGGGGCAGGAGGGAGGATTAGGCAAATGACAAACTAAACCTCAAAGGCAAAAGTTATTTGTAGACCAGCATGATGTCACAGGCCTTTAGTACTCAGATCTCCATGAGTTCAAGGCCAGCCTGATTTATACAGGGAGACTGAGGCAACCCAGAGCTACACAGTGAGACCTTGTCTCAAAATATAACAACTTGGAAGCATGTACCTGGTAAGTCTCCCGTCCATAAAATATAAATATAAAGCAAACACAAATTTAAAATTGGAAGAAGTGCTTGAACAGGCACTTCGTCATAAAGAAATTGTGATGTCTCAGCATCCAGAGGCAGAGACAGGAGTTCAAGGCCAGCCTGGACTATATTCTAAATTCTAGGCTAGCAAGGGCTATATAGTAAGACCCTGTCTCAAAAAAAAAATGTAAATGCTAATCATTATAAATATTCATGGAAATGCAACAAGCCACATATTCACCTTCTTGAGCTATGCAGATTGTATGTCCCTTTTCATTTGAGTTTTTTTAATAAAAATATTAATATACATAAGATATTTTTGGAGTATGGCCTAAGTCTACACATAAAATGCACTTACTTTAGTTGTTTATTTATTTATTTACTTATTTGTAGTGCTGTATTTGACTACAAATTGTACTTATTTGTAGTGATCTCTGAGCCTCGGGGTGCTGATTTTGCATGTTATTCAGCCCCCTTCAGTTAGGTATCATACATGCTTCATACAAATAGCCTGGAGGCAATTTAATATACTATTTTTATTCATTTGCGCTTGACTGAGACGTCTTATGTGAGGCCAGGTGTGGAATTTCCCACTTGTGGTATATTGATACTCAAAAGCTCAGCAGAAGGAGCAGTTCAGAAAGACGGGGGTTGAAAACGAGGGACATTCAATCTGTACCCAAGAGACATAGCTTAAAGAACATTTGGGGCTGGAGATATGCCTCAGCAGTTAACAGCAAGTACTGCCCTTGTACCAGTCCCCCAGTTCAGTTCCCAGTACCTGCTGGAACTCCAGCTCCAGGAGGGATCCCAGCGTCTCCAGCTTCTGCGGGTACCTGCACTTACCTGTGTGGAACCCGTGCAAACAGGCATACATATGCATAATTGAAATAAAGTGAATTCAATTGAAAAAAAAAAGCAAGAACATTGTAGCAATTCAACTTGTAACAGTCCAATACTGGAAACAACTTGAATGTTAAATGAAAGAGCTAAGGTGTTAGTCATTAATATTGTTGAAGTGGGGCAAATAAACTTCCTGTTAATAGCCAGAAAGTAAATACCTTAGGCTTTCTGGGTCAGATAGTCTGGCATAATAAACAGAGAAACAGGCTTTGGCCATGTTCCAAAAATAGTTGTTATATGAAAATATGTAATGGGCTGGAATTTACTAATAGGGCACCGTTTGCCAGTCCCATATAGGAAGGAAAAATAAACAACTTTATAATACTGTATGAATGGCTCCCCAGAACACAATGTGAGAAAAAAAAAGTACGCCACATTTTCACATTCCCGGTGATTGAAATCAAGAGAGTTGAGTGGGGGGAGGCCGCGCTCCACAGGAAGGAGCGGGATTGAAAAGGCCTTATGACCTCATCTGGAGAGTCACACAGGCATATACATTTGTACATTTCATTGGGCCACACCCTTCGTTTTTGCCTTCTCTACACGTCGTATTTGCAAATAAGATGTAACTCAATTTGGAGAAAAGGGCAAATGGTTTTGTCTAGAATATTGATCTAAAGAAATAATATCTAGAATTCAACGTGGATTAAAACCTTAAAAGCCAGATTCAAAACTTAATACATCTAATTGTGGTTCCTAAAGAACAGGGAAGGGGGGAGTAGGTTCCCAGGGGATAATGAAATCAAGGGCAAAACTTCCCAGGTTTGAAAAAGAAACCTTAGGTGAGAGTGTCAAATGCATGGTCACACGATACATACGTCATCTTGCCCAGAAAGCCTTTGATTACATATTCTTTGTGATCATACCAGGAGCAATTAAGACCATAAAGCGACCCTCAACAGTAAGCAAATCAGTGGTATTGCCACATGTTCTGACTGTGGGGCAAGTTAGAAACCAGGAACCAGAGGGAAATCGCCTAAGCCTTCCACACTGCAGGCAGAGAACACCTCTCAAGACTCTCACAGTGAAAGAAAAAAAAAATACCGTAATGAAAACATGTTTAATCCTTAAAACAGAACCACATACTACATGTCAAGCAACAGGGCATAAAAAGTTGTAATCCTTCCAGATGACAAATGGTTACAGAGCCCAGAGGCAAGCCCAAGCTAATCTATGCATCGCCCATGGCTGAGGGGGTGCAGCAAGCCCCTGGCACAGGGACAGTCGCCTTCCCAGGAGAGAGAGAGAGAGAGAGAGAGAGAGAGAGAGAGAGAGAGAGAAACACAGCTAACCGTGTGCTATCTTCACCACATAAACAAAGCATGCACATCCACACCCACGGATGCATGAGCTTCATAACTGTGGGCAAAATACAACTGTGAACACTTCAGAAATCATTGTGGAATCAAGTTCATTAACAGCCGAGTTTTTCTCGGGGGTGGGGGGGGGGTTGTTGTTTTTTCAATCAAGACACACGCACCACAAAGATAAATGCCTGTTTATTATCTGAAAGTTTCTTCAACCATGACCCGCATCCAGAACATTGTTTCCCAAGAGAAATGTGCTATGGTTGGAATGTGCTGGTCTGTAGCATAGGAATGTGTAACACAATATAATATATAGTTACACGCAAAAATTGAGCACTAGAAATATGGCCTGGAGCCCCTGAATAGCTGAAATGGAAATAAATACCACAGCATGGCAGCATTTTAAAACCCAGAGCAAAGAATTGAAATTTTTTTTGTGCTTTGTTACCTTTTTAGTATTTACATTTCCCCTTAACAAAAGCCTGTTGAGCTTAAATTGCGAAATAAAATATAATTCCAAGCCATAGCAAAGTTACTTTTAAAAATAGCATATTGAATGATTTCAATTTTCTTCTAAGTACTTTAAAAAATATATTAAATTTTTTAAGGCATAGAAACATATGATGAATTTAATGACTAGCAATGTGCCCACCAAAGAAATTATGAAATGCGATGTTAACGCTGTTGCGTTTCCTAGGTAACTCTCCCTGATCAGGACTCTTTATGACGCAGTGGAAAATATGAGATTTCAAGCCCTGGATACAGGCTTCTTCGTTTTCTTTAATATATTGGTGGTGGTGGTGGTTGGGGGGGGGGGGGTTAACATTTAGACCTATGTGTATCATTTAATAGTTTTTAATCCTGAAATGTGGCCACTGGCCAGAAGATGAGGTATATTCTGCTTCCTAAGAGTCGCTAATGTTCCCTCATACCCATTTGCCCCCCCCCCTCAGGAGGTGACCATTAATGACGTTCATAACATTAATTTATATTTTTCCCTTTATGATTTTTAATCTCTGTGCTTTCCTACACAATAGCTTTGCTTGCCAGTTTCTGAATTTCACGTAGATGAAATCATGCAATATTAAGTAACTTGTTTTTATTTGTTTTTCTCCTTCACACTGAGAGGAGTCTGTATGGAAACACAGCACCACCTCATTCGCTCCTGTACCATGTTCCATTTTATGACTGGTACATAATTTATGTTTCCCCATCAGACGGACATGAAGGCATTGTCCAACTTTGTGGCCCTACACAGGAAGCCTTCTTCTGTATGTCCTCTGGTGCATATGAAAATTTATTTAGGGCAGTGGCTTTTAAAGTTTTTTGACCATGACTCATAGTAAAGAATGGCATTAGAACACCATTACACACATATGTGTGTATAAAACTACGGGGGGGGGGGCGAATGGTCATAAAACAAAGACCCTCTGACTTGAGACACATTTTTATGTTTTCTCCGTTTGCAAATTTTCAATTTTTTTAAATCACCCTCTATTTAATTGATTTCAGAACTCATGAATAGGAGCTTCACGTTGGGAACAACGCTGCTCTGTGAAGGATATGTACGGGACCCTGAGGTCGGGGAAATGCAGATGTCAAATGTCGTCAACTCTGAGTCGTGACTTAAATGACCGTTCTCATTTACTAGTATGTAAATTTCCCACTGTTTTAAGAGCAAAAACCGCGACGCAACAGATTTTATCGTTTCATACGTCACTAAAATATTGATCACTTACCATGCGTTAAGTAAGCAGCCAGAGATGCCAACCCCAGACCGAAGGGTTACTACGCAGAGGAAAAAGGAAAATGGGGGGGGGGGCACTTCGGGGAGCAGAACCTTGCCAAGGCTCCAGAGATCTAACAGTAGGGGCCCTGAAGAGCCTTGGAGGGTGGGGTTCGAGAAAGATTCCTAGAAGAAGAACCTAAACTGGGACATTTCTATTTTTAATTTTCACCCAATTCCTAAAACATCAAAGTAGTACATTTGTTACGGGGGGATTCCCAACATTTTCGGACCCCTTTTCAGTATAAAGCGGAAAATCCTTCCTAGTGTCCTTAAAGTTGATGCGGGAACTGGGGAAAAAAAGGACACAAGTTGCACTTTGAATTCTCCCAGGAATTTTTAGGAGTCCGACGTTCTCGAGAAGCTTTAAGAGTACAAGTGAGAACGCAGTTATCGTTAAAGCATCAAAAATACGTGCATTTCCCCAAACGGACACAAATCACTTCTCCCTGACTTTCTTTTTAGCCTTTGGTCGAGTTCGGAGTGTTTTCAGATCTTAAGGACCAAGACTAAGTGCTGCATACCACCCAACGATGGGTGTGAGCGATCGCGGCACTAAGTGCCGTTCGGAGGGATCCGGAGTCTTTCGCGGCATCCCTGACCGCAGTTGGAAAACCCAAGGTAGGAGTTTGTTACTTCGGTACCCGAAGGGTCCGGAACACCGAGGTCCGCGCAGAGCGCGGCAATCCTCCCCGTGGCATTGCTGCGCCACGTCGCCGAAGCGCCCAGATCACCCACACACTTACCCACCGAGGGTAGCTGGACTCAGGCGAGCTGCCCGGCTCTCAGCCTACGCGACCATGGCGGCAACCCGGAGGTGGCCGCACTCCGTTCTCCGATCCGCTTGCCGCGAGCCCCGAGCTCGCGGCCGAGCCTCTCCGAGCGTTCTCTCGCCTGCCAGGCGAGTGAGGCTGGAGAACGCCCCAGCCGTGTCTAAATAAAGGCTCGGGGCGGTCCCCGCCCCATCTGAGTGACAAATAGCAGATGCCGTGGGCTTTGCCGCGCAACACGGCAGCCAAAGGGATCGCTGCACAGACGTGGCTACGGGCGGGGCTGCGAGAGGAGCTGGGCCCCCGGGTGTCACGTGGGAGCAGGAGGCCCGGTTGGGCTCTGGGGGTCTGCGGGGGAGGACAGCCACGCAGCCCGCCACGATGACTCATCGGCTGTGTGCGCAAAGCCAAGGTCGCCCAGGTGCCGCGTTGGCGCAGGTAGCGGCGACTCAGCCCTAAGATCCGTGATGAGGGTTGATTGCGCCCGTACCCTCTGGGATAATCAACCCTCGGCCACATCACAAGCCAGAAACTGGGAATGGGGTGCTGCCGGGGGGGGGGGGGCAGCCAGAGGCCAAAGAAGCTTAAGTTTCTGCGTGATCAGGGGTACCACCGTTGGAGTGGGCTTTGAGGACCAATACCCCAAGTCCTATAGCAGTCCTTCCAGAAACCATACTCTTTCCTGTTGACTAGCGAGAAAACGAGATAGATTGGAAGTAATTTTTGTGACCAGGGGCTCGCATTGTTCACACTTGAACGACATTTGAAACATTTTTCATTCTTTAAGCTTAAAAAGAGCCCAAAGCGAAGTCTCAGCATTTGCTTTCGTCCTGGTAAGGCATAAATACTGAAAAGGGGTCCGTGAATGCTTATGTGGGAAAAGTAAGGAATACAGGCAGTTTCCAGCGCGTTTCAGTTTCACCGGCTCCGAAGCGTTAATCTGTGTGCTTGCTTTCTCCTACCCTCACCCCAGACTCAATTTTCCACCGCTGTTTATATTGCTTTGGGCTCATTAGGAGCGAAATGTGCGGTCTTAACTCTAGATTTAAATGAACTTGACGGTCACCGTAAACCTTTCCTGGATTGCATTTATCTAGTATAGACAGCGGATGGGCGATCTTTTTTCTTAATCCATTTAAAAGTATGTGGCTTCCACGGTACAGAAAAATATGCTTTTCTCTACATGTCGAAAAATAAAAAGGGTGTTTTGAATTCCCACCTTATAAAACCTCACAGAACATGAAAGCAATTTCTTTGCAGATTTTTTAAGCGCGCGGGGGGGGGGGGGGGGGAGGGGGGGAGAGGTCTCATATTGTCCAGGCTGGCCTTGAACTCCTGATCATCTTGCTTCTACCTCCTAAATGCTGGTATTACATGCTTGCAACACTGTGCCCGGCTACCTCACTGTTGAAGAATCTCCCTGCAAAGGCCTGAATCGTGCGTAAGCATCCCTCAGAGAGCCCTCGGTTTTTCTGCTTGACTGCCTGAAGAATTACTTATCAAGGACCAACCGGCCTGCTTCACCCCGCCCCATATATATCACCATCTTTTATTTTTGAATTACATTCTTTAATGAGTTTAATATTCCATCCATGTTATTATATCCGGAGCAGCTTCTGTTTTAGGGCCGAGAGCTGTTTTTGCAGACTATTTTTCCTGTGGATTCCTTATGTTTTAAGGCAAGTACCGGCGAGAGGAAGAGAGCGTATAGAGACAGCTACGACCAGAAATTCAGCTTGCGTAGGAAACTCGACCCTTACCGGTAAAACCTACAGCCCTGCACCAGACCCCTCCTTGGTAGAAACAGTCCCTTCCCATGAACTCCAGCTGGGGTTTTCAGTAGAATGCAACGCTCCAGGAGGTGAACTGAATAGCAGCGTTGCGTTTTCAGTCTCCTGGAGGCTTCACGAGGATGCTACCGACTGCTTTCCAACGGGGAAAGATTTAGTCAGATTTTTTTTTTCAACATATCTCAAAAGGGTGGGAAGACAGGATGGATATAGGCATATTGTGGACACACAATGCTTAAATAAATCTTAACTTTGCTATCTATTCTCAAACCGGACACCATAAAATTGCCACAGGTAAAGCGTAGTCCGTAATTGAAGCGCTCCCTGAAGGCCAAAACAGAAGAACAGAGTTCAAGGACAGCCTGTGCTGAGTAGCGAGACCCTGTTTGGAAAAGGGAAAGGAAAAGAAGACGGCAGAATTTTTTTTTTCCCCCGTGGTTATTTTCCCTGCTGTGTTCTTTCCCTTGGGTGGTCTAATTTGGACGTTTTCCTGAAATATGCTTATATAGAAATCTCTCATTGATCGTAAATCATATGAAACCGTTTTTTCCTATTATGCTATTTTCAGAGTTCTGTTTTTGAATGTGAATGGGTTTCCCTGGTAGCTGTGACAGGGAAGCTTTTCCTCAGAAACACAAGCCCCCCGAAAGGTTTTAGGACAGAGGGCGATAATAAATCTCCACAAGGTCTAAACTAATGAGGAATGATGGCTCTCCCCTAAAGTAGGGAGGAGATGGGGTGCTATACCACACATGCTGGGCTGTGAGGCTGCTGTGCAGCCACTCACTAGCGCCCTCCAATCTGTATATTTTCTTTTAAAGAATGACACATGGTATAACCCTCTCCATTTTGAAACACCACAGACGTCAAAAGTCTCTCTCATGGCGAAACCCACCCAGAGGGGCTGCGCTGCAATCCCCTCAGCAGTCAGAAACCCTGTAATTATTCGTTTTTTTAAAAAAGTACTTCCAAGCATAGCTTCATTCCACAGACTCTTCACGAACTTCTTAAAATGTCTTTATCAGTCAGGCATGGTGGCTCTATGACCCAAGGACTGAGGAGGCAGAAGCAAGAGGCTTAGGTATTCAAGGCATTCAAGGCCTCCCTTGGCTACATAGTGAGAGTTCAAGACCAAACTGGACTACATGAGAAACTAGCAGAAAAAAAAGAATATTTTTCCTTATCAAACAAAAAGTAAGAAGATTGATGCTGAAGTTTATATTGTGTTAAAATGTCCCAGAACCCTTCACTATCAGGGAGTATTCCTTAATGGGGGTAACAGCTATGACAGTTCTAATATTTACCCCATGGAAACTGACAGTTGATACAAACTAGGAACACAGTATCATTTTTCAGTCATGTAGAAAAGACATTGAGCAAAATCTGACATTCATTCTTGAAAACAAAAAGCAGAGCTATAGGAGACCTTCCTTTGCCTGCTAATGGGCGGGCTCATTTCCTATAGTTGTCATGGACCATTACTACAGATGGCTGCTTCAAAACAAGAAACTTATTTTCTCAAAATTCTAGAGAAGTCGGAAATTAAAAAGTGTCAGCAAAGATCGCATGCGCCCTCTGGTGGCCTTTGAGGAGAATCCTTCCTTGCTTCTAGCGGGTTTGGGTACCGGTACTATCCCGTCTCTGCCTCCAATTCAAAGTTGTCTTCTTGACTGGTGTCTCTACTATGACTATCTTATAAAGACTCTTTTCCTTGTATGGTATTTAGGATCCATCTTAATTACTACAACACCGGTTCAGCACCTAATGTTTTCATGTGGAATTGCCTCCAAACTGGACCTCTGGGTTTCATGGTCCTTGCTGTACAAATCCTTAATTTAGAAGGCAAAGCCCCCCTCCACTCTCACTTTATATATATGTAAATCAAATAAAGTAGCAAACGCAGGTCCCAGGGATTAGGACATAAACGTGCATGTATTGGGGGAAGGTATTATCTTTTAATCCTCTGCCCTGGGGGGGGGGGGGGAAATCCAGATCTAATTTGTTGTAGAAATCTGATGGACTGATTATAACTTTATATGGAAAGAAAAGAACACAGAAGAGGAAAACCAACCTTAAAATGTAGGTCTGGGTGTACCTTAAGAAGGAGAGGAAAAGGAAGAAGAGGAGAGGAAGAGATGGAGGAAGAAGCGGGTGGAGGAGGGAAGTAGAGAGGGAGAATGAGAGAGGGAGGAGGAGGAAGATGGAGGAACAATGATAAAAGATGAAGAAGACAAGATGATTGAAAGGCTGGAGCTATCTGGTCTTAAGGCTTTCTTTAAAACCATAAAAACTAAGACTGGAAGGGAGAAGCAACAGAGAAAATTGAAGCAGAATAGAATCCAGACACAGATCTGCATTTATTTCGTTTGAGACAGGGTCCTATGCAGTCCATGCTAGCTAGCCTTGAATTTGACATGTATTGGAGAATGACCCTGAACTCTTTATCCTCTTGCCTCTACCTCCCAAGTGCTGGGACGACAGACAGACATGGCCATCACTCTCAGCTTCAGATCTGTTGATTTTTTCAGCAGGAGTATGATCACCTGAGAAGAGAAATAACAGTGTGCTAACTGGTTGCTCACGGGGGAGGCAAAACCTTCTTTCTGTATTTAAAACAAGAACGTGAAATCAAACCAAATCACAGATCAACATAAAACAATGGCAATATAGAAATTTCAAAACTGCTTTATTCATTGTAATAGCTACTAGCTCAGTTAGCACCTTAACTGCGGCTAGTCCAAACTGAGATGAACCAACCTGTGAAAACTATATTTCAGTTTGCAAGGTCTCTGGATTAAAAACAATATACAATGTCGCATTAATAACTTCATAAGATGACTGGAAAGATGGCTCAGCAAAAAAAAAAAAAAGGCTCTTGACACACAAACTTGATGAGCTACATGCCATCCCGGATGGAAAGAGGGAACGGACTCCACAAAATTGCCCTCTGACCTCCAGATGCATGCCGTGACATTTGTATGTCCCACTACACACAACAAACGCATACTAATACATGTTAAAAATAATTTTGCACTAATCACATGTTGAAATGACAATGCCCTAGAAATATTAGTTTGAACAAAACTTGAGTTTGCTGGAGGAAGCTGTTTTTTTTTTTACTATCTTATTGTGGCTGCTGGAAAAATCTAAGCTGATATGTATGACTCACACTTCTGGCAACTCTTGTCTTGACAAAACCCTGGGACAGGCAGTTAGTTGTTTTGCGGGCAATGATCCATCCTGAAAGAATAAATTGGTAAGTGGATTTGCTAAAAAATAAAATCGTCAGTTCTTCAGAGGGACCGCTTAAAAAGATGAGAACTCAAGC